GGGAATGTAAACTTTTGATCAGGGTCATTTGGTTAATTTCTGTTATCATTATGATTAAAAAAGGAGCCAAACAAGTGATAATACATGGCATCATTTGATCATTATCCTTGAATAAAAAGTTTTTTTTTTTTTTTTGCATGATCAGTCATATTTTAATTCCAATGCCAAAATGTCACAATTTCTGCCAGGGTATTTTTGAGTACAGATTTTCTTAAAAAAGAAGTTTGGCACAACCTTGACTCTTCCTAAGCTGGTTGCCCAGCCAAACTGAGCAATCGGGGGAGAAGGGTGTTAATATTAGAGGTTACCAGGAACTTGATGGTCAATTCCAGAAATAAATATATTTATATATATATATATATATATATATATATGAATAAAATGGGTCATCATACCTGTTAATAGGTGTGAATTCTCTGCCTATGAAGGGGCTTTACAAGTGCCTAACAATGGGAGACATAAACAGACCAACTATTTATAAAACCATGCATTTATTAGCTCATCCAGTTAAAAGAGAGCCATCTCTCATTAAAGATACATAACAAAAACTTCCAGTTGTATCATACATTTCTCATAAATCATAGCAATGTATAACAAGTGTGTAACATCAACGTATTTCACAATATTTCCTTCCTCAGGACCCATGCTTGAAATCGACAAGTGAAATAAACAAAAAAAACCCAAATAATATATAGCAACATAGAAAAACAAATATACAAATACATAAACTGCACTAAAAAATAATGAAGATGACCTGGAAGGATGAAAAGAAACCCCCAACAACCCCCAAATCCCAAATTCGAAAACCACCCCCCCTTCCTCCCCACGCATGCTCCTGTGGGAGAGAAAACCCGGAAGGGTAACCCACGGAGGGACAGACAAAAAAGCTTGTCCTGAGGTCAAAGGCACCCATGGGCATCAAAACAGACAATACAAAAAAACTCACCTAAGCCAAGTCACAACATGTAGTAATTAGCCATAACTAACATATGTATAGTCTGCATCAAAGTGGGGAATATCCCCCCCAGAAACAAAAATGGAGAGAGAAAGGATGACAACAAGCAGGTGGAAGAATCTGCAATATATATATATGTATCAAGCTCTTAAGCATGCAGACTGCTTCTACAAGCATTTGTGAAAGAATGGGTCGCTCTCAGGAGCTCAGGGAATTCAAGCGTGGTACCGTGATAGGTTGCCACCTGTGCAATAAGTCCATCTGTGACATTTCCTTGCTACTAACTATTCCACAGTCAACTGTTAGTGGTATTATAACAAAGTGGAAGCAACTGGGAACAACAATGAAGTGGTAAGCCGTGTAAAATCACAGAGTGGGGTCAGCGCATGCTGAAGCGCACAGTGCGCAAAAGTCACCAACTGTCTGCAGAGTCAATAGCTAAAGACCTCCAAACTTCATGTGGCCTTCAGATTAGGACAACAGTGTGCAGAGAGCTTCATGGAATAGGTTTCCATGGGCGAGCAGCTGCATCCAAGCCTTAAATCACCAAGTGAATGCAAAGGGCTGGATGCAGTGGTGTAAAGCATGCCGCCACAGGACTCTAGAGCAGTGGAGACGTGTTCTCTGGAGTGACAAATCACGCTTCTCTATCTGGCAATCCGATGGACGTGTCTGGGTTTTGTGGTTGCCAGGAGAATGGTACTTGCCTGACTGCATTGTGCCAAGTGTAAAGTTTGGTGGAGGGGGAAATATAGTGTGAGGTTGTATTGCAGGGGTTGGGTTTGGTCCCTTAGTTCTAGTGAAGGAAACTTTTAAGGCGTCAGCATACCAAGACATTTTGGACAATTTCATGCTCCCAACACTGTGGGAACAGTTTGGGGATGGCCCCTTACTGTTTCAACATGACTGCACATGTCCAGAAGGCGTGATCAAGAAGAGCTGACCAAACTACATCACATTTAAATGTGTTAGCATGGATAGTGGACGAGGCTGAAATGTCCCACTTCTCCATTGTAAGATAGTGAAATGTGTAAACTAATTTTAGTCCAATTTTTATTCTAAGAATTCCAGCCACAAGTCATCCACATAACTTTAGTGGCTTTTTTTCTCCGCAATTAGACGCAGTGGGATACTTAACTGGTACAAGTATTTTTAGTCCTCTGCTTAGACATTGGTGTCATTTGCAGGAACATTCATAAAGGTACACCTAGATACAACAATGTATCCTGTTGTGAAACCTTTCAAATGATTAATTCACAAGCCTCTCACTTGTCTCCTGGGCAAGCATGATACATAGCCGCTGCAAATCCAGTAACAGTGTGAAAATGAAAGTAATAATTCAGCGTACAGATACACCAGTTTGGGTGTCAGTGGAGGGACTGTTGGCTTCTGAGAATAGAGTTCAGGCTAATTCTGTATCAGTATATTTATAATAAAGAGAAGACAAGTGACCTCACAGGAGCTTGTACTCAATATGGCAGGCCATTAATGTAGTATTGTGGAACACAATAGTAGCAATGAGCAGGGTCAACAATGATTTGCCAGCTATAAAATGAAACAATATGACGAACTGCAAATGTCCAAGTTGTAATCCATAATTTAGGATACAGGAGAAGCAGGATTTCCCAGAGAGCAGGCAATCACTTAAATGACTGCAGATAAGAGACACTGCCTAAATAGCCAAACCGCTTTGGATACTACTGCTCCTGCCCTGTTAGATTCTCAAGGTCATCAATTGTAGCATGTGATTTATGTATACCTGACCCCTGCACTCTGTGCGTTAACTACTCCTAAACTCAACAGAGACTACAGCACACAGAGATTTATACTGTACATGTCTGTGAGACTCTCACTTATAGGTACAGTAATTGAAGCAGATTTTAGGTGTAAACTGAGATTCAGGTTTTATTTAATTACGCTTCTTTAAGCCCCTCCCACTGTTAAAAATTTGGCCACACCCACCGCAGCGCTACGCAAGGCACATTTTTCTACTCCTTCTGCTCCCTCTTCAGGCCTCTTCCTGGCCTGAAGAGGAAGCACGCATGCTCCAAATGTGCAGAACATCAGCTTCATACGAGAATCGCCTTTACACTGCGGACCACTGCAGATGCACCATATAGGACAAGTGCCCCTTTTATCTTCATCTTGTGAGTTGTTATACTACATGCAAATAAATGGTTTTACACATTGCTGCACTTAGATGATGCCACTCTTTTCTCTTATTTTCCACAAAGTCTCTTCTAGCTCAATTTCTGCTGGCAGCCTCTAGGTCAAGCTATTTTTTATACCTTTGTATGGACTTATACTTGGACTGATTCATACACCTTGATCTTTACTAATCATATGCCCATCCCAGTTTGTAAGTCCCTATTATAAGGATATATATTGTAACATACACTGCAGAAGCCACCCCATTCTCTCCTGGGTGCGCCAAAATATTTAATCCTCTACCTGATGAATAGCTGTATGTTCGTTTTGTCTTGTATTCACTTTTTGGAAGCTCTGAGAAGCATTGGTCTGTAAAGGGAGATGATACCTCTCTCCAATATTGACCCTCTATAAAACGAGCGGTCAAATAGCACTCGTTTATCAAAGCTTTCCAGGACTCATATACATTCAGATTCCACAGCTTTCACCAGACCTCATGTACTCTTACAGGTTCAGCTAGGCCACTTTGATATAAACCAAGTTCTCCCTCCTCATCAACAGTCTAGAGGCATGCAAATCCCACATACGTGTAGCCCATATAGAGCAAACATAACAGCCTCATGGTGTAGTATTAAAATAAGGTTTCCTCAGTATGCCTTTCTGTTACATGGTATTTATACCAATTGGTCTGTACGTGCAAGCTGCAGAGGAAGGTGGAAGTCACCTGGAGGAGAAGTGAGGCCCAGGACCAGATAGTTCAGATGAGCTTGCATTAATTTATCTGAGGTGAGCAGGTTTTTCACCTAGTGTGGTGGAGGTGCACTCTACATTTTGAAGGAAGAAGTGAAGATATATGTATTCACAACCTATTTGACCGCTCATTTATCAAAGCTTTCCAGGACTCATATACACTCAGGTTCCACAGCTTTCACCAGACCTCATGTGCTCTTACAGGTTTAGCTGGGCCACTTTGACATATACCAAAGTTCTCCCTCCTCATCAACGGTCTAGATGCATCCAAATCCAATATACATTTTGCTCATAAAGAGCAAACATAACAGCCTCATGGTGTAGTGTTAAAATAGTGCTTCCTCAGTAGGCCTTTCTGTTGCATGGTATTTATACCGATTGGTCTCTTAGTGCAAGCTGTAGAGGAAGGTGGAAGTTACCAGGAGGAGAAATTAGATCCTGGGCCAGACAATTCAGATGAGCTTGCATTAATTCATCTGAGGTGAGCAGGTTTTTCACCTGGTGTGGTGGAGGTGCACTATATTTTGAAGGAAGAAATGAAGATATATGTATTCACTAGCTATTTGACTGCTCGTTTATCAAAGCTTTCCAGGATTCATATACACTCAGGTTCCACAGCTTTCAGCAGACCTCAAGTGCTCTTACAGGTTCAGCTGGGCCACTTTGACATATACCAAGTTCTCCCTCCTCATCAATGGTCTAGAGGCATCCAAATGCCATATACGTTTTGCCCATAAAAATGCAAACATAACAGCCTCATGGTGTAGTATTAAAATAGTGCTTCCTCAGTAGGCCTTTCTGTTGCATGGTGTTTATACCGATTGGTCTCTTAGTGCAAGCTGCAGAGGAAGGTGGAAGTCACCAGGAGGAGAAATTAGGTCCTGGGCCAGACAATTCAAATGAGCTTGCATTAATTCATCTGAGGTGAGCAGGTTTTTTACCTGGTGTGGTGGAGGTGCACTATATTTTGAAGAAAGAAATGAAGGTATATGTATTCACAAGCTACCTGTTTCATTTGATATTCCTCTGTGATTTTATCCTTGGACTCCTTTATACTTTAGACCTTTATTATTGTAGATATATATGCACAATATGTCCTATGCACTGTATGTGTAGTGGGGATTTGTTTATGTTGTGCTGCACTTACACTTCAACTAATTTATGTTATGGTGATGTGAAATTCACTTTAGGTGTTCAGCTTGCAATTATTCTCTAATAATTTATTTATATATTTCTATTTATTTTTGGTTTGGTCGTGCTGATTGATATTTACTTTTTTTATTTTCACAGATTGTGTAAGCTGCTATTAACATTTTAAGGCTCTAAGCACGGGTGCAACACAAATTTTTCTCTCCAATATACTCCTGCCCCAGTGGCCTACGGATACCCACCAGCTATCACTTCATATCCTTATTATGCCATTACTAGAACTCAGTAGTAATAATAACTGATGAGATTTCCCCCGCACTTCCTGCAATGTTATTGCTTGTCTTTTCTAATATTCCTGAATTCTACATACCATTAGCTATATTGTGTGGCCATATATGTCTGTATATTACCAGTTGGTCGCTCACAAAAGTCTTTTTGAATGCTACAGGTGTATTTAACTTTGTTTTTCTCGTGAAACCTATTTTTCTTCTTTGTTTTTTTTTTACTCAGAAAAATAAGGATTTTATTTAAACATTTTTGTAGATAGGTAAACAACAAAGTACAATGAATTTCTTTACTACTTTTAAATAAAGCAATTGGCATGTTGTATTTTATTATCCCAAAAGCAATTGCTGCACACAGAACTTGGAAGCTTCCCAAAATAATAAGCTTTTCTCATAAACATGTCTGGGTAGACATGATTAAACATGGGATTACAAGGAGAGATGAACAGCGCAAAGCCGCCCGGTATGCTGTTTACTGGGGATTAAAGTCACAATCAGCTTGGCCATAATCGAACAACATCAAGTGATCACCTTTTAACAAGCATGATGACGACATTGAAAAAATTAATTTGTTCCAGAGGGGATCTGTGTTTTAGCAAATGACAATGAAAGGGATTTATTCTGTCTGCTTTAGGGGAAAACAACAAGTTCAGTCCCGGACACATCAGGAAATTTCCTGGTATAACATTGTTTGTTTTACATAGGTTGTTTAGGAATCTGCTAAATGTCCTTGTGCTATCGGCAGCACGCTAATTAAAGTAGTGTATGTCTGAGATTGATGGGACAATTGGCGATGAGTTGATAAATTCACCCAAACTGGATAAGGCCAATTAACAGTGAGTGCATATCCACCGTGGATTCCTCATCAAAATGTTAGATTTATCCACTTAGTCAACTGTAAAAGGAACTTTTGAAGTTTTTACCAGTTTATCGTGGAAGCTGTTCTTGCAGAACAGCATAGCTTCTACTAATACTCTGACCTCCACTAAAGGATCCAGTGGGGAAACTACAGATTCACAGAGGCACAGGAGAATTTGAGTAAAAGTCCATACAAGTTATGATTTACCTGATCTTCCTTATTACACAAAAAAGGGTGAAGAATCAGGTGTTATACCCCCCATGTTAACCTGCTCACTCACAAACCAAAGGTCAGCAAGACCACATTTGCTACTTGTGAGAACCATACAAAAAGGATCTAATGGTCCCTTTAACTTGTTCAATATGCATCCTGGGCAGATTGGGAAAATCTCTAGAGAGTCTCAGCAAAGTCCCTGGTGCAGGTTCATTTTTATGATTCCCTCAACCAGGGGCGGACTGACAACTCATGGGGCCCCCGGGCAATAGGGGATCATGGGGCTCCTGTGTCCTTGCCCAAACTCAAAAAAGCCTATGAAAAAGGTACCTACTGACCCCGGGCCCTCGGGCAGTGCCCGAGTTTCTAAATGGTCAGTCTGCCCCTGCCCTCAACACAAGTTACAACACAAATTCAGTGTGCTGCTATTTGAAATATTTATCCTTAATGTCCATCATACAGATCAAAACTCCATGTGAGTCATTGCTAAGCTGATTGAGGCAGTATTAGTGCATATGCAACAACATAATTGACTACTGTCTGAGCTACTTTTTTATTTGCATGCGCAATTACATTTTTAGGGCAAGCTTTCGAGGTATACTTTCTTCTTCTATGGTCCAAACAGTACACAAGGCATTAGCAGAATGATAGGAACAACGAAAAAAAACAGAGAATGAAATGCCGAAATAAATATTCCAATAACCCCCAATGCTGGCCTTCAGGCAACCTCAGGCATAATTAATCAGCAGAAAATGTAATTCTGATTACAGAGAAACAAAGTAACCATACATTGTAACAATACATGCTTCAAACTGTGCAGCCAAATCATTTCAATACAAAGTGTCACAGACAGAAAAGGAATGTTCAATATTACAGGACAGCTACATCTTCAGTAATGGGGCGTACCTCATTCAGAGTAAAAAGTGCAAACATGGATGTTGCATTGATGGGACAGGACAGGACATAAATTACAGAGAAGAAGTCTTCATAGACAAACTATTAAAAAAAATAAGCAATAGAATTACTGCACACCTGTAGGGCATCATTTGGCACAACTAGGGTTGAGCTTAGCGTTCTGTCCAAACACACTTGTACCCTTTTGACAGAGGTCAAACATCATCTATAGTAGTGGTATTTTTACTGCTACTATATATGACGGATTCATTGCTGTCAATAGTTATTCAGGGAGTGGTGGGTGCAAGCATCTGCCATATTCTTAGCAACCAGTGGCATCACCCAGTCAATTCAGTTGCTGGTTGGGAATTCCCAGTCATGTAAACAAAGGGTGGGGGTGGTGGCTGACATCACTGACCAAACATGGCCATGGCCATAGGTCGAAATCGCTGCTCCCCACAAAATGATATTCACTCCGCAGATGGACTAGGGACTATAAATTGTGGACTATGGGATTTGTAGTGAGCATAGAGCAGTGCACATAACGCCAACTAATGTGCACTGCTTGTTCCAAACAAAAAGAACTGAGGGAGAAAGAAGAGGTCCAGAAGCTCACAGAGAACGTTGCAAGGAGGCAGAGAAACACAGAAAAAACTAAATGGTTAGCACTTCTGCTTGGCAGTACTAGGGTCGTTGGTTCAAATCCCAACCATGGTACCACCTACCTGGATTTTGCATGTTCTCCCTGTGCCTGTGTGGGTACTCCAGTTTCCTCCCAAAGACATGCTGGTAGGTTAATTGGATCCGGTCTAAATTGGCCTTAGTATGTGTATGTATGAATGTGAGTTAGGGACCTTAGATTGTACACCCCTTGAGGGTTAGGCACTGATGTGAATGTACAATATATATATGTAAAGCGCTGCGTAAACTGATGGCGCTATATAAGTACCTGAAATAAATAAATAACTATTATATGAAAAATAGATTACAAGGCCTGTCATGGTCACCCTGCCCCCTATGCTCCCTGTGCCCCACACCACTCTAGTGTGGATCCACCACACATCAGTCACATGCTTCCTCCTGCCAGGCACCAGCAATCCACAGGGGCATAGCACATTATCTTTTCTTGCGTTGTGGCTGTTCCCACCGGAGAAAAAGAGCTCACTGCTAGCCGCTCTCCTGTTGCAGCTGGAAGTGGGCTGGACCAGTTTCTAAGGCAACCCAATATCAAGCATTGGGTGGCCTGGGACACAGGATCATGCCTTGGCTCTGACCCTGGTTAAGACTACGATCGCTGCCATCTTTGTTTACCAAAATACCATGCTGTTTGAGGGCGTTTGCAGCCCTTTTCCCTTGTGAGTGCATTTTGTTTGCTTCTTATGTGTTTTTTAAATAAAATAACCTTACTGCACTATGAGGAGCACCTCTCTCTTGCTTATTTGTATATGATACCTGCTGTACCGATTTCGGTGATGTGGAGCTCTCACTGACCAGGATACGTGGAGGATTATTGCTGTTTTTGACCTATGTCATGTGGGTCAACTGGAGAGGTGAGCGTGCATGCCTGGTGATGGTGGATATCACATGAGCACATTGAAAGAGAAGAGTCACAGTTTCTTGCGCTATTCACCATTATGGACTGTTATGTTGCACTTTATTCATGATATATGACGTTCACTTTATTGTATTCATTCACTGTATCTTATTTCGTTTAATACGTATATACCCTGTACAAGGGGTTTTTTTTTTTCTTTGTTTATGTAGACCTTGTTTACACCAGCCATTATAGTGTTATACACATTATTTATATCTTATTTTTTTGAGGACCGTTATATTGCACTTTATTCATGGGATATGAATTTCACTTTATTCATTTTATGTCATTGGTCCTATACGCTACTTACTCAGTGGTAGGGTTTTTTTCTTTTTATGTGGACCTCTTCTTCACTAGTTTTTACGGTGTAATATACACTTCCACTGTATTTATTTACATTTATTTCTTTATTTTCTGTGGATATCATTTATTTAATGCGTATTATTATTTTGCATGTTAACATTTCTTTTTCTTCTTCTACTTTTTAATAGTAGAAGTGAATAGCTTATTTTTGGAGAATAAGGATATCGTTCAGTGTCCCTGTTAAGATGTTTCTAAAATCGTTCTGCGTGGCCTACTGTAGCATTGTGGATAAATAAAGCTTTATTTATTATTTATCATCAATGCTATGTGATCACTATCTGAGTGATAAAGTATTATTAATATACAGGATTTATATAGTACAGTACAGTTGCAATAAAATGCAATACAAGTGGGATCAGAGGGTCCTGCCTAATAGAGCTGACAACCTAAAAGGAAGGGTCAAGTGATACAAAGGTAATAACTGTGGGGAGGGAACTGATGGAGAATGTAAAAGTACAGTTTATTAATTAGAGTTGATAGTCAGACATATTGAGGAAAGGTGTTCTTGAGGATCAGAGAAGCTCTGGAGAAGTCCTATGGCAGGAGATAACAAGGGGGCTAGAGAGCCCTTAGGAGGTCTTAGGAAGAACAAATAGAACTATTTGGTTGGTATTTTGATATGAGGTTTGTTAAGTAAGTGGATGGCTTTGTAGGTTGGTGTTAGTATTCAATTTTAGTTGTTGAGTGAGTGGAAGCTAGTCATTGGTGGGGGGGTAGTGGACCTGAACAGTTGTAAAGTGGATGAGTCTATCAGCAGCATTCATGATAGACTGAGGGTGGGATAGCCTATGTCAAGATAGTTCAACTAAGAG